TTCATTCACAGGAGGCTCGGCAAATGGGATCCCAAGATAAGTGAGGACTGATTTTCCAAGTGGGAGGCTTTCAATCTTGCCGACAATTTTTCCAGACTCTATCTGCACGACGGTTGAGTTTTCAAAGCCTCTTACCTGCAAACGAGGATCAAAGAGATAGATTCTAAATGGTATTATTGAGGGACGACGAACATATGAAGAAAGCTACTAATGATGATCCGGATGTTGTGTTGATTAAATAACAAGCTTCAAATCAGCCACATGATGAATTTAATAAAAAAAGGTCAATCCATTGAAGCCTGAATCCAGAAAAACTCACCAGTTCTGTGAAAGTTTGATTAGAGTTAGGCTTGATGCAATTTGTCCCTGAAACAAAAAAAAAGTCCTGAGTGAATAACTCACTTCTCGCAGCTAAGAACACTACTGAAACTAGTAGTTGTAAGTAGGACCTGAAAAAAAAATTAAAATTAAAATTTTTTTCAGGTCCTACTTACAACTACTAGTTTCAGTAGTGTTCTTAGCTGCGAGGATCTTCTAATTTCATCTTTCCACCGCAGTGCAAATATGTGAATTTTCATATATCTAAATCTTCATTCAACTCACTTCTCCTTAAACAGCGCCACCTGTGGAACGTTTCAAGCATATCATCCCGAGTGCCATTCGTTCAAACCCATCAATGAAACATTTTTTGACATACCCAAGTTCAGTACGTTGTTCATACACAATTTGCTATATATGTCGAGCACGGTTTCCGAAATAAACACCCATTGTATGTCTTCCAGGTCAATTTGCCGCGTCTCTTGCTTGATATCTGTTCGTATTTACCTACTATATACCATTTTTACACTGAAGCAATGTCCCTAATGAGTAAATGGCTGAATTAAAGGAAGTTAGAGCTAATCATAAGATTCGCTAACAGTCCTTATATCTAACCTTCGGTTATTTCTTCTCTCAGGCGAATCTTGAGCGTGAAGTGCTCTTGCCGCTCACCTCTCCAGCGAATCACAATTTTCATTTCAAGGCCATCATCTCCTCCTTTTATTCCTTTAAGCATCACGGCATTACTATTCAGAATAAATCTGTCTCGAAACCCCGACCAGCTATGATCTAGTACTTTGCATTGCGTACTTGTGCAATACGCAATTGTTTTCTTTGGATTTGACATACTTCTGATTAAAAGGTCCTCTACTCGTGTCCATGGCCGCACCATGTTGATTAAGTGGTGAGTCAGGTTCACAT